GAGATCTAGTGATGATGGGTAGCCATCAATGGTGGAGCCTTCTGGCTGGAGCAAGCTGAGTGATAGAGGAGGACTCTCGTTGGAAGAGGTTCTGCGATGAAGGGGGCTCTGCGATGGAGGAGGTTCTGTGATTGAGGAGGCCGCTAGATGTTATTTATGTATTGATCATGTCAGGAGGTCCTGATACTGTTGAAGAGCCGATGGTGGTTGAGATCTAGTGATGATGGGTAGCCATCAATGGTGGAGCCTTCTGGATGGAGCAAGCTGAGTGATAGAGGAGGCCTCTGGTTGGAAGAGGTTCTGCGATGAAGGAGGTTCTGCGATGGAGGATGTTCTGCGATTGAGGAGGCCGCTAGATGTTATTTATGTTTTGATCATATCAGGAGGTCCTGATAGTATTGAAGACCCGATGGTGTTTGAGATCTAGTGATGATGGGTAGCCATCAATGGTGGAGCCTTCTGGATGGAGCAAGCTGAGTGATAGAGGAGGCCTCTGGTTGGAAGAGGTTCTGCTATGAAGGAGGCTCTACGATGGAGGAGGTTCTGTGACTGAGGAGGCCGCTAGACGTAATTTATGTGTTGATCATGTCAGGAGATTCTGGTAGTGTTGAAGACCTGATGGTGGTTGAGATCTAGTGATGATGGGTAGCCATCAATGGTGGAGCCTTCTGGATGGAGCAAGCTGAGTGATAGAGCAGGCCCCTGGTTGGAAGAGGTTCTGCAATGAAGGAGGCTCTGCGATGGAGGTGGTTCTGTGATTGAGGAGGCCGCTAGATGTTATTTATGGATTGATCATGTCAGGAGGTCCTGATAGTTTTGAAGAGCCGATGGTGGTTGAGATCTAGTGATGATGGGTAGCCATCAATGGTGGAGCCTTCTGGCTGGAGCAAGCTGAGTGATAGAGGAGGCCTCTGGTTGGAAGAGGTTCTGCAATGAAAGAGGCTCTGCGATGGAGGAGGTTCTGTGATTGAGGAGGCCGCTAGATGTTATTTATGTATTGATCATGTCAGGAGGTCCTGATACTGTTGAAGAGCCTATGGTGGTTGAGATCTAGTGATGATGGGTAGCCATCAATGGTGGAGCCTTCTGGATGGAGCAAGCTGAGTGATAGAGGAGGCCTCTGGTTGGAAGAGGTTCTGCGATGAAGGAGGTTCTGCGATGGAGGATGTTCTGCGATTGAGGAGGCCGCTAGATGTTATTTATGTTTTGATCATGTCAGGAGATTCTGGTAGTGTTGAAGACCTGATGGTGGTTGAGATCTAGTGATGATGGGTAGCCATCAATGGTGGAGCCTTCTGGATGGAGCAAGCTGAGTGATAGAGCAGACCCCTGGTTGGAAGAGGTTCTGCGATGAAGGAGGCTCTCCGATGGAGGAGGTTCTGTGATTGAGGAGGCCGCTAGATGTTATTTATGTATTGATCATGTCAGGAGGTCCTG